ATGATTCAATTTTTCCTTCCGTTGTCTGTAGAATATTCTGAAAGTCTGTTGTATAGTGTACCATGATGGTTTTTGGCCTACATCTTGTGTGAATGCAATTTTTATTGTATAATTTTCACCTCTGTTCTCTTTTTATTAGCCCACAACAGATAAACTAATTGTCTGAGGTGTCAAAGTTATTCTAAATGCAATTCCAAACAAAATGACAAATAATGTAGCATTGCTCAGTTATAATTTGTTCACATAAACCAATAGATGCTTTTTATTATTTTTATTGGATTTTTTCCCAATTTAAGAAATTTAATTCATGTTAAGCATTCTTGGACTCTGAAAAATTGATCAGTAGGTACACAAGAATCTGGGGCCCTCATTTAAGAGATGGTTAAACATCAAAACTTAAATAAGAATTCAGTAAATGATTAACTGGGGGGGTTAAGTTAGTAAATATAATACTGAGCATGGATTATTTCTAAATTTGTGTAAATATCATGAACAAGACCTTTAATGTTAATTTTTCATACTTTCAAAAAGTTGTGTTAAGCATCCAATCTGAGTAAAGATCAATGAGAGGAGCATTACATTCAGAGATTGCAACAATGATAGAGAGAGAGTCCTTGACTTGGGAAACTTTACATAGCCAGGGAGATAAGGCATGTGTACCAGCACAATTCCATGCCAGATGTACCAAATGCCATAGGAGAGATTATATTTTGTGTCAATGCCAGCAGGGAAATGCAGGAATGATCCATAATACATGGGTTTTATGTATGTCCCATTTTCTGCAGTGTTTGCTGTACCTCTCCATTACACTGAATTTCCTATGAAACACTGAGGTTCTAGAAGTGCTAAAAATCACTTTATTGGTTTTTCAAATGGCTGAATTTCATTGCAAATTACTATATGCAAATGAGGTAAGTTATCTATTACACTAGCTAACTTTATAAGATGTAGGTAGGTAGGTAGATGATAGAGATGATAGATGGATAGATAGATAATAGATAGGTACATACATACATGCATGGATATATATATATAGTATTGCTCAGTTGTGGTCAGTTGCTTGTTTCATAGTCTCAAAACATGTTCAAGACTAGCAGTTCTGTACTTTAGGTAGACAGCAGATCTGAGAGTGAATATGTTGCCTTAGTTCATACCTTTAGAAAAGTTCATATTTTTCCATTGATCATTCTCACATGATTGTTAGAGAAGTTTATGGTTATTTTCTCATTATTCCTTCTGCTGTTTTCCTGCTTGGGAGAAAGAACAGCATAATAGTTAGGAAACTGGGGTTCTAATCTCAGTTTGCCTCCATCACCTGCGTGCACTTGAGCAAATCTCATAACCTAGCCTTTACATCCTCATCTACAAAATGAGAGGATTTAGGTATAGTCTGCTCTCCAAGCTCTTTTAGACCTAAAACTGTGATACTGTGAGTTAAATTTGCATAGGATAAAACAACTTTTTAAGAATAAGTCGTACCCTTATTACTTTGAAATCGTAATTATTCTTACATTTTTTGCAATATTAAAAAAAGATTCTTCTTAGTTTAAATTGAGAGTACAAAGTGTATTGTGGGAAAAAAAGTTTTATGAAAAGTACTTGGCATATAAATATCTGAAACAAATTTGCTGGAACCTTTCTTAGAAATTAAAACGTTTTCGGAAATGATTTTGAGTAGCCTGTCAGTACTTGTTCTTAAAGTTGATCCTTAAAGTTTGAATGAGGTCTTCAACTTCGTAAAATTATACTTCAAACATAAAAGAAATATTAAATCACATTTAATTTAGTTTTACTGTCTAAGGCATTTACAAGATCCTAATTGAAAGTTGGTTTTCTAAGTATGATATTTATAATGAGAATGTCTGACTGTCCTAACCCTATTAGTCCCCTGTTTTCTCATCTGCAGAATGAGAGTAGTAACAGTAAATCACTCATTGAAATAATGAGGGCAAATACCTTAGCAGAGTGTTAGGCACATAGTGAGCACCATAATATCTTTTAAATACTGCTTCTATTGCTGTGACTGCTACTCACTCTAGATAAGGGTGTTTACAGGGCGCCTGGGTGGCTCAGATGGTTAAGGTCTGCCTTCGGCTCAGGTCATGATCCCAGGGTCCTGGGATCGAGTCCC